AGTTTCTTTAGAAATTTACCCCCTTTATTGATTTTTTAGTATATGCAGTTGAGTCATGGAAAAAGTTCTCTACAGTCTTAAAATAATAATAATAATAATACTTTATTCAATCAAATCACAAAATAAAATAATTTGAAAGAAAGGGAGACACCAGAGGTTGGCCCTATCGAGGGTGTTTCCAAAATAATTATCTAGTTAAACATCTATTTGAATGTGCAAAATAATATAAGAACATTAAGTTGCCATTTAACTATATACAATGCTTACTATAAAAACTATTTACAATATTATTTAAAAAGGTAATTCTTGACTTTGGTCTTAAATGTTTGTAGAGATTCTGCTTCAGCTACGTCTTTAGGTAATTTATTCGACAGGTTTACGATTCTGACAAAGAATGAGTACTTGTAACAATATAATCTAGCTGATTTGACTTTCAACTTGTAACAATGATTAGAGCGGAGAGGATGAAAGGCACTAGCATAAGTAAACAAAGGTGGATTTAGACCATTTAAACTATGAACAATTGTATGATATTAAGAAATCAATTACTATTTATACATTTTTGCTCCATTTAGTTAAATGAATTGAATTGGAAGCCTGTTTGTTTAGTTGTTACACCTTGAGTAGGAATGCTAAAAGCCATAGGATAACCTATTTATCATGAAATAGAATTTTTTATTGCATCCATTTTGAAATCACTGGTGGTCCCTGTAATCTGATTGGCTTTAATTGGACAGGTGCAATTTATTCATGAATCGCACCATTTTTTGCTTTAAATCACATCATTTTACACTTGACTGAGTTTTTGACACATGACATCAAAATCTTTCTGTTTTGCAAACTAAATAAGATGTAAAAGCGTTTCCGGTTCCGCTTTTTATTTAAAAAACCAGCTCAGTACTACGTCAATAAAATATTTGGATTGACCAAGTCCTGTATTTGGGCAATTTCAAAATGGATGTAATAAAGTGGTAATTGAACCTCGTGTTGTGCAATTTTGGTCTGAAATCATACTTGTGATTTCAAATCAAACTTGCGCTGCATGCTCATTCGATTTTGAAATCACGCGTATGATTTCAGCCTAAACTGCATTCCACTCAGTTCAATTACCATAATGATTATTTCATCAGGGAATTTAATCACTTTAATCCATAAACAAATATGACATATTACTATGATAGCACTCTATTTTACAAAAAAAACTGAAATATTTCTATTTTACTAAACATTTTGTTACAGCAAAAGGGATATCCCTTTCAATCTAATAATCTTTTCTTGTACATGTTTTAACTTACAATATTTGACAACAGTATCTGACAACATAGATATGTTATTTACCCGGCAGTAAGTATTTGACAACAGAATCTGATGGTTCTTAATAGTCAATTTAGGAAGGGTGTGTGTTCATTACTGAATGAGCATAATTACCTTTGTTGTGGTCATATTTCATCCTGCAGTGTATTTTGTTTCCCTACAGAAGAGAATCTGGCACCTGCAGAGTAAATTAAAAGACAAAAAGAACCAAAATCAAAACTTGAAATCTGGAGCTCTGATTTTCAGCAAAGTTGAACATAATTTGTGCAAAATTAATTTAATTGGAGAGCATTAAAAATGAAAGGAAGGCTATGACTGTTAGTGCCTACTGCTGTATAGTTGTTAAGTACTGCATTAAAAAAGCAATGTGGTGTAAAATGCAGGGGGTTTAAATGAACAGCTCTTGTCCAAGCCAAAATTGTGACAAATTAAAAGGAGGACATGGTTAGAACAGAGTTTGTACTCTGGTCATTTGACAGGCCTGAACATCTCACAAGTCAGGCTATTTTGCTGAATGCATGAGTCATAAAGCATCATCATAATTATCGTCCATAGCTTCTCCAATGCATTGGATTTTAACTAATAGGCAAGCCTTTCAAGATTTGATTCACAATTCTCTTTTGCAGGCTACTATAAATCTCCTTGTCAATCAGTTAAGAGAATTTGGTGTTAGATCAGCTGTCTGCTGTATAATGTACTGAGATTGTTAGGAGAACTTACAAGTCAATAATTTCTGCGACAGGGCTTGAAACGTCTTGGTACTATGCTCAAGGCTTTAAAATTGCTACTCTGTGAATTTCTTTTTGGTTGCCACCAGATTAAAATTGGTGGTTGCACACTGTTTATTAGCTTTGCCAGCAGGCAGGGACACCGCAACAGCTTGCGCCAATTACTGCAGGCCCAGTAAACCCACCCATCCCAACCCAGGGGAGGACATCCACCACACAGTAATCTCATGCATGAGAAATTA